TGTTTCAGGAGCTCTGAAAAATCCATGTAGAGGGGAAGATTTCTGCTTTCATTGTGTACTGGCTATTGCAAGCTTGAGGGAGCTGTTTTCCCTCCTGTGACAACAAAGGGGCCCTCATTGGGTTCTGGAGAGAACAAAGTGAGAGAACACATAGGATTGTCCATATAAATACAATTGCTGTGATTGGCACAGCAGTTACATAACTTCCTTCTTTCTCTTTATGCTTTGTTTGCTAGGAAGCATGTAACTACGTTTTTGTTTATTAATTTGAGTTATAATTTCTTCTAGTCTGGGTTTTCTCATATAGTTACTCTACATTTCAATTCCAATCCTTCTCTTGATTTTGGTCTGACTCAAAGACCTCTTTTATTTTCACACCCTGATGGAGATCAGGTCCGAGAATTTGAAGTTCTTGGTTCTCATTCCTTCTAACTGACTGCTTTGGGGAGTGAATGGGCTTAATAGCAAGTGCAGACAAGGACCTCCACGGAGCATTGGTAAGAAAAGGGGCAGGAGCTGGATCTTATGTTGGCTCCAAGGACAGAAGAAAGCACTTAAAACCGTAACTACTCAGAGTTATGGAGGAAGGCCAGACCCGATCTCAGCCCACGTCAGTACTCAAGGGGTGCAGAGTCGTGAGTTGGAGTGTGTGGTGCTCCGACTCGGTGCAAGGCAGCATTCCAGACCGCCATGTGGAGAGTCAGAAGAGGGAGTGCAGGCCTTAAGAAAGAAGGAATTTCTGAGGACTAAAGGAAAGTGGGGAGGATTATGCTTTTATGAGATGTGAAGCTTGCACAATTATGGGGACCCACTTTAAGAGAAAAGATAAAAAATAACTCACTTCTCCAAATGCTATAAAGAAAGGATTCTGAGTTTGCCAGGGCTCTTCTCAGGGCTTTAGCAGGGCCCAGGCAATGAGGGAAATGAAGCATAAGCTTCATAAGCTTCATGAACTTCATAATACATCCACCTTTGTCCTACAGTGGAGTTCAGGCTAGAGCTTGAGACACAGTCAGCAGTGGAGGAGGTAAGATCAAGAAATTGAGGCAGGAGCCTAATCCAAATTATGCTGGACTCATAAACAACAGTTAGGAGAAAGGAGATGGTGTGATGTGCACATGGGGGTCCAGGGTCAGGTCTGGTATTGCAGATTCCAGACTTAGCGCAGCCAGCATGGCTCCTCCCCCTATCGCACACTGGAAGTCATGCCTTCGTGGTCATATGATATGCCCAGATTAGTGCAGGGATTAGGAAGGGCTCACTGCCCTCTCTATGTCTTGTGGCCAAGTCAGGCAGAAGATGAGTCAGATACATATTAATGTACTTGTTCGTTCAGTCATTGAGCAGCTACTTTCTGTATCTTGGAGGAAAAAAAATACTGAGGCCCCATCTCTGTCATCAAGGAGCTCACTGTCTAAAGTAGTGGCTGACATTTAAACGTGATATGGCCAGTGTCCCAAAAGAAATCACCTGTGGTCCCAAAGAGTCTGTAAGTAGTGAGGATGACTGCTCTGGTTTTAGCACTGAAAGTCCTGTGCTTTGAAAAATTCCTCAGGGCAAACCAGGGCAGTGGTCACTCTAGGTGGGAGGGATAATGACTTTTTTTTTTTTTTGAAGGTTGGAGGGCATCAAGGTCCCTGGGCTAAGGCTTGAAGCACCATTCATTTCCCTTTAGGGTGTGATAGGTAATAGTGGTCCTCGCATACTTTTCGATCCAGCCTGAGGGTCTGTACCCATGTTACTTTGGAAGGTGGGAGGCTGGCAAATGAGTTGTGGTCTTGGGACCACTGTACAAGAAGTGACAGGAGCAAGAGTGGCAGGCCACCAGGTGATGGAGCTCAGAGTGGCAGTGGCCTTTGAGTTAGGAACAACTGACTGATCCACTAGCAATAGGACCTTCAGAGTTTCTGAGCCTTGTGCGCTGTGGCGCACATGCTCCTTTCTCTGAGGACCACAGCCCACACCTGAAAATACAGGCCAAATTTTGTGCATCTAAGCAACTTCTGAGGAAGATAGCATTATTAGGGTATCAAAATTGTTCAAGATTGGAAACATTGAAAAACACGGAACTAAGTGGCTGCTAAGGTCCTTGTTTTCACATTCTGTGATTCTTTGGTACTATTCAACATGCTTGACTTCAGTTTTGTAATCAAAAGGTCGCTGCCGCCAATCCAATGCCACCAGGAACCCCCAATTTAGGGGGTGATGAAAGGAGAAACTTCATTTGAGTGAAACAGCTCTGGGGAAAGATCTCAAGTGAAAGTTTGTAATGCAAACCAGACAAACAGCTTTTGGTAGAAATTGAGAGTATGCTCCACCAGACAAAGGGAAGGCTGGCTAATATAGAGAAAAATTCCTGCCAATTTCAGGCAAACGAGGACTCCAAATCTGCACAGCCTGATTGGTCCACTTTGCACTGTTCTCATTTGTTGTTATGAAACGGCTCTGATTGGTTGTTAAAGACATAGCTGTGCAGCTCCAATTAGATGAGGAGGTCTCAGTCCCATTGGTCAAAATACAATACCAAGAGCTTCTTTATAAGGGTCGGCTCATACAGCAGGAATGCAGAGCAGGAGGCTGACAGCTCAGGCTGCCACTTTCCCCTGATGTGCAGTGTGTATGTGAGAGGCCTCTGTAAATAGAAGCCTCATAACCAGAGTTTGGGCCCAATTAACCACAAGGAATCTTTTAATTTATAAAAATGACCACAAAGGAATTATCAGGGTTCTAGAAGCCCCAAAACTATCACTTTATTTTTTAAAATAAAAAAAAAGGATTTTATTTATTTATTTTTAGAGAGAGGGGGAGGGAGGGAGAAAAACATCAATGTGTGGTTACCTCTCGCACATCCCCGACCTGGGACCCGGCTTGCAACCCAGGCCTGTGCCCTGACTGGGAATCAAACCAGTGACCCCTTGGTTCGCAGGTCAGCACTCAAACCACTGAGCCACACCAGCCAGGGCCCAAAACTTTCACTTTAAAAAAATAGGCTAAATATTAAAAACAAGGGAATACAAAACAGCTTTTTCTGTTGTGAAAGGGGTCTGTGATTGTTAATTTTATGTGTCAACTTGGCTAGGATAGTGGGCACATTGTGTGGGTGCTCAGTTATTTGGTCAAACATCACTCTAGTTACTGTGCAGTATTTTTTAAAAATGTGACTAACATTTAAATCAATAGATATTGAGTAAAACAAATTACGCTTCAGGATGTTGGTGGGCCTCATCCAATCAACTGAAGGTCTCACGAGCAAAAATGGAGGTTTCCCAGAGAAGTAAGAATTCTTAAGACAGCAAAATTGGAACCCTGCCGGAATTTCCAGCTTGTTGCCCTAAGAAATTCTGACTCAAGACTGTGACATCAGGTCTTACCTGAATGGCTAGCCTTCCAGCCTGCCTTGGGACTTGTCAGCCCTCACAAGAATGTGAGCTAACTACTTAAAATAAATCCCAGTCTCTTCCTTCTTTGCTATTGGTTCTGTTTTTCAGGAGGACTCTGACCAGTGCATGATCCATTAGTCATTTATTCCAAATTATAATACTGGGGATTACACATATATGACTTAACAAAATGGTCATGTCTGGTGAAGACAATCCAAAGGCCATTTGAAACAAATGAGTTCCATTGGATGGGTAGAGGATATAAAAAAGAGAAAAAAGTCATACTCTTCCAAGTATATGTTCCAAGATTCAAGTAATTTGGCCAAATAACCCAATTTGGTAAAATTGGCTAAAAGCAAGTTGGTTAACAAGACAATCTAGTCAAAAATGAATATGCACATGCTCTCCATCTGGGGAGCATGTCCATGCCTTTCCCTTCTCCCTTTTCTTCCCCATAGGCACGCATATCCTAAGCTCTAAGGGTCTTCACCAGCAAGACTTGCAACCAAGGGAGCAATGGGCAATGGTGGCTTGCCCCTGGGCTAACCCCCTGGACCTGTATCCAAGGCCCCCTTTCCTCTGATTTCCCAGTGAGCCAAAGCAGCCCATCCTAGTGTTTCTCCTATTGCTTTTTCTGTCCTAAGTCCTTCCTTGTTCACTGTCCCCAGCTTTAATAAACATCTTCTCAAAAAGAGAGAACATTCTTTACTATTTAATTGATATACCGCTCTGCACTGTTGTATGTTTTCACATGTTTTTGAGATGTTTTGTAATAGCAGTTTTGTAATTTTCGCAAAGAAGGATATTAATCTGTTTCAGGCACTGGTGTTTCGTAGTGCTGCTGGTGGTGGAAAGGTGGCTCAAGCAAGCATTAACACCTGCCCACTACCTAAAGATCAGGACCTTTCCCTGGGAGCTGGATCACCCCATAGGAAGGCCCTTGGGCTCCAGCCTGGGGAAATGGAGCTGCAGCAATCTCGAAATTTCCACAGGCCTACTTCTTGCCCACGTTTACGTGCCTGTAAGAGCCCATGCCCTCTGGCCAGCAGTGAAGGGTAAAGGGTTTCTGAGACACTTTCAGATTCTTGAAAAAGCAGCCACTGGTCTGGAGCCTAATGGTGAAAGTCGCTTTCCTAGGGGTCCCTTCTTCTCCATCAGAGGGCTGGGAAGGTCTTCCACTTAGCAAATATTTATTGTTGTGTAGTATATATGTAAATGTTACCAGGTTTTCTGGGGGGGGGGATAAGTCTTGGGGGTCAATTCTGAACTTCTCTTCAACTCACTTTCTTTGTCTTAAGTGACATTTATAAACGCAACTTGGGTTAAGAGACACTCAGGCACTGCCTCAGGGAGTTTACGAGGGAGACAATTAAAATTAAGGCCAGGTCAATGCTAAAACTGGTCGGCCTTTGGAAAACCGGTTGTGTGCATGTGTTTCGATCTACTGGCTCCACCAGAGTCCAGCTCGCCTCCAAGGACTTGAGCTCCACTCAGTCGCCCCTTGGCAGCGTGCGCCTCCAAAAGCTTACAGCGCCGCGTGACGTCACTGCGTCGGGGCGGGGTCAGCAGCGAACCGGGAGGGACCGCCTCCCGGGGCTCGCGGAGGGGGCGGGCGGGGGCGGTGGCCTCGTTCGACGCTCTCGGCCTGTGAGAGGCTGGTGTGTATAACGCGCTCTCTGGTTAGAATGCTGCGGCGACACGCTTGCGGGGTCGGGATGCCTGGGCGGTCCACCGTCTCGGAACATGGACGACCGGAGCAGAGCGCGCTGCGCTGGAACGAAGGCTTCGTGCTGGGGCTGGACGTGGGCAGCTCGGTGATCCGCTGCCACGTCTATGACCGCGCTGGGCGGATCCGTGGCTCCAGCGTCCAGAAGGTGACGGGAGTGTGGGCGTCAGGGCTGTGGTCAGGGTCGCGGAAGGCTAGCGGGCGAGTCCGTCTTACCCTGCCTGCGTGTCGCTACCTGCAGTACTGGCGGGCCCTCGGTGCTGAGCGGCGCGTTGGGAGTGTCCCGATATTCGCATTCTGCTCCTGGGCAGGACTGAAACCCTCGCGCCCAAGGCTGAGGGCCTTGCTCTGTTACTCCAGTCACCTGGACATTCGCCTCTCCGGCCTCACTGGGTGGGACTACCGTGACTCAGTAGCTCGCAGGGCAGGGCAAGGCAGGCTGCAGTATCCAGTCAAAAGGTGCTTTGTGACTTCTTGTTTTTTTCTGCACTTCCTTGATAGACCTCCAGCCTCGTCTTCATTTGCATTTCAATTTTTCAGATCTTGATAGAATTTAACTTTATTGTGCGTTGTTCGGGTATCATGATTAAGTGCTTCTCAAAGTGCTGGTTCCTCGCATGAGCATCTGATTTCCATGGATATGGGAGGTATGGGACAACTTTTGAAGGCTATATTGTCGTTACTTTTCTCCTTTTCATTTTTGAGAATTGGTTTAAAAAATGTTTTTCTGGTTTGAGAAACTTACCAAGACATTAGTTACTGTTAGTAATCGTTAGTAAAGCCACCAACAGACAGGTACTCTTCTGTTCCCAGTTTAACGAAGTGCAGATTTCTACAGAATTACCAACGTACAAAAAATAATGTTGATCGGATTTGGTGTTCTTATTTACTCATCTTTCCAATACCAACATCGTTTCATGTTAGCAGTATTGGGGCAGGAGCTGTTAGTTACCTCAACCATTGCTGCACTGAACGCCCATTTGCTTGGTTCCCACCCCTCTTAGCCCTGTTAGAAGAGCTTTCCAACCACAGCAGTTGTCCGGGAACAGATCTAGCCAAATGACTACTCTGAGCATTTGTTTTGAGGGAACAGTGGATTGGCATTCTGATCTGGGGACCAGGACGGTGAGCTGGGACTACAGCAGCTCCTTGGCCCCTCCTCTGGCTACCTGTGCAGGAACAGGGCCCTCCCGCCCACCCACCCACGTACCCCATCCCTACACCAACCAGAGGGGACAGATGAAAGGCCAACACTGCCCTTCAGCAACTGTGTGCCCCCCTGTCTAGGTGTAAGTCTTTATATAGCAGCCCGATGATACTTTTAATAGTTTTCCCTTGTAATTCTAGACACAAAGTACATTTGTTATAAACAGTGATTAAAAAAAAAACAAAAACGGAATTGAAGTATTTGGAACCAAAGGGAGAAATTGTTAGAAGATACAAAGTTTCACAGTTGCTATATTATTTGAGCAAATTGTTTGTTTTTTACAAATGAGGTAAGAATCTCAAGGGTGAATCAAGATTTCTGTGAGTAGCAGGAGAGTGAAATGGTTTGCTCCGACTCTAAATTGGGTTGGATGGGGGAAGTGGTATCTGGAAAGATATGTGAGTAAATAAAACTACAGAAAGTCCCAGCTTCAAAGGCAGAAGCACTGTCTTAGATTAAGGAGTTCATAGCAATGCCTCCCAAATGGCAGTAGGATTTTACAGTAGTGCTTCCTAACGTGTGGTTCCTGGGATGCTGGGGTTGAGATAAAGAAACTAAGATTTAGAAAATTGTGTAGCAATTTTGCAGACTAATTTTATGATTATTGACCTTAATAAAACACTTGGGATTTTATTTTGTATGTATTTTTCCCTAGAAAGTTGTTTTAGTTGTCTTTAAAAAGTTAAAAACATTTTTCAGTTACAGTTGACATTCAGTATTATATTACTCTCGGGTATACAGCTAGTAGTTAGACATTTATATAACTTATGAAGTGATCCCCTTGATAAGTCCAGAACTCACCTGACATCATACACAGTTATTACAACGTGACTGACTATATTACATATACTGTACTTTATATCCCTATGACTTTTTTTTTAATTGTTGTTCAAATACAGTTGTCTCCATCCCCCCCCCCCACCACTCTCCCCTGCCCCACCCACCCCACCTCCCACAATCAATCTACCCCCCTTTGGCTTTGTCCATGGGTCTTGGATATGTGCCTTGACAACCCTTCCCCTTCTTTCCCCTGTTATCCTTCTCCCCTCTCCCTGCTGGTTACTGTCACTTTGTTCTTTATTTCAATGTCTCTGGTTATACTTTGCTTATTTGTTTGTTTTGTTGATTATGTTCCACTTATAGGTGAGATCATACGGTATTTGACTTTCACCCCCTGGCTTATTTCACTTAGCATAATGCTTTCCATGAGAACTCACATGACTCCACTCCCAGAAGACAAACAATCCAATTACAAAATGGACAAAGAACTTGAACAGACATTCCTCCAAGGAGGACATACACAGTTGCCCAGAGACATATGAGAAGATGCTCAGCATCACTAGCCACCAGAGAAGTGCAAATTAAAACCACAAGGGGATACCACTTCACACTGGTCAGAACGGTCATCATAAACAAATCAACAAACAACAAGGGCTGGTGAGGATGTGGAAAAAAGGGAACCCCAGTACACTGCTGGTGGGACTGGTGCAGCCACTGTGGAAAACAGTTTGGAATTTCCTCAAAAAACTGAAGATGAAACTGCCTTTTGACTGAGCAGTTCCACTGCTGGGATTATACCCTAAGAATCCTGAAACTCCAATTAAAAAGAACCTATGCACCCCAATGTTCATAGCAGCGCAATTTACAACAGCCAAGTGCTGGAAGCAACCTAAGTGCCCATCAGTAAATGAGTGGATCAAAACACCTATGACTGTTTTTTAACTACCAATTTGTACTTTTTAATCCCTTCACATTTTTACCTAGCCTCCCAAGTCCCCTCCTACCTGGCAACCATCATTTTGTTCTCTATAAGTTTGTTTCCGTTTTCTTAGTTCATTTATTTTCTTTTAATTAAAATTTTTTTCACTGTATATTTTTCCATTACCTCCCGTCCCCTTATATGGACCTCCACAACCACCCTCCAGCATGACCACCTGTTGTTCATGTCCATGAGCCCTTTTTCCTTTTTGCTCAATCTGTCCACACTCTAACCCCCACCCCAACTAGCTGTCATCCCACTCTCTGTCTATGAGTCTTGTCTCTATTTTCCTTGTTAGTTCAGTTTATTCATTGTATTCTACTTATGAGTGAAATCATGTCGTATTTGGCTTTCTCTGTCTGACTTATTTGCATAAAACCATCTAGGTCCATCAGTGCTGTTGCAAATGATAAGAGTTCATTCTTTTTTATGGCCTAGTAATATTCACTAATATTCTATTGTATGTATGTCCCACAGCTTTTTATCCACTTGTCTATCGATGGACACTTGGATTGCATTCATATCTTGGCAGTTCTAAGTAATGCTGCAATAAATATAGGAATTAATATATATTTTCAAATTAGCATTTAGGGTTGCTTTGCATAAATACCCAGAAGTAGGATTTCTGGGTCTTATGGTAGTTTTATTTTTTAATTTTTTGGCTATTACTGTATACTCTTTTTCATAGTGCCACATCAATTTGCAATTTCCAAGTCCTTGCCAACAGTGGTTGTTGATTTATTAATGATAGCCATTCTGAGAGGTGTGAGGTAATATCTCATTTTAGTTTTAATTTGCAGATCTCTGATGATTAGTGATGTTAAGCATCTTTTCATATGTCTATGGGCCATCTGTATGTCCTCTTTGAAGAAATGTCTATTCGGGTTCTCTGCCAATTTTCAAATCAGATTGTTTCTCTTTTTGGTGTTAAGTTGTATGAGTTCCTTAAATATTTTGGATGTTAACTCCTATCATTGGTGAATATCTTCTCTCTTTCAGTAGATTATCTTTTGGTTTTGTTGATAGTTTCCTTCCCTGTGCAAAGACTCTTTAGTTAGATATAGTCCCATTTGTTTATTTATTTATTTTGTTTCCTTTGCTTGAAGAGACACATATTCAAAAAAATATTACTAAGAACTGTCAGAGAGTTTATTTCTACGGTTTCTTCTAGGATGTTTGTGGTTTCAGTTCTTACATTTAAATCTTCAGTCTATTTTGAGTTTATTCGTGTATCTGGTATAAGAAAGTGGGGTAGTTTCATTTTTTTGCATGCATATGTCCAGTTTTCCTAACACCATTTATTGAAGAAACGATTTTTATCCCATTGTATATTCTTGCCTTGTTTGTCTCAATTGACCATATAGGCCTGAGTTTATTACTGGACTACGTATTCTACTCAGTTGGTCTATGTTTTTTATGCCAGCACCATGCTGTTTTGATGACTATAGCCTTGAAAATATTTTTGATATAAGGTAGCATAATACCTCCAACTCCATTCTTTCTCAAAATTGTTTTGGCTGTTCAGGGTCTTTTATAGTTCTATTTAGACTTCTGGATTATTTTCTCTAGTTCTGTGAAATACAACATTGGTATTTTGATAGGAATTTCATTGAATCTGTAGATTGCTTTGGGCAGTGTGGACATTTTAATTATGTTAATTCTTCCTATCCAAGAGTGTGGTGTATACTTTCACATATTTGTATCATTCTCAGTTTCTTTCTTCAGCATTTTATAATTTTCCAAGTACAGGCCTTTTACCTATTTGGTTAGATTTATTACTATGTGTTTTATTTTTAAATTTTTTTGACGTGATTGTAAACAGGATGGCTTCCTTAGTTTCTCTGTCTGGTAGTTCATTATTGGTGTATAAAAATGCAGTCAATTTCTAAATATTTATTGTGTATCTTGCTGCTTTACTGAATTCATTAGTTCTAGTAATTTTATGGTTTTTTTTAGGGTTCTATACATATAGTATGTCATCTGCAAATAATGACAGTTTTACTCCTTCCTTTCCAATTTGGGAACATTTTATTTCTTTTTCTTGTTTGATTGCTGGGGCTAGGCTTCCAATGCTATGTTTAATAGAAAAGACACTATGTCTTGTCCTTGATTATAAGAAGAACAATTTTAGTACTTCACTGTTGGGTATGTTGTTAGCTGTGGGTTTGTCATATGTAGTCTT